TGCTTCTTTTGATAAGCACTAAACTCGCTCCATATAATGCAGAGGGCACCGACAGCCCTGAGTAATGAATCCCTGAGGAACAGAATCCAGTTGCTCACAGCAGTGGAAACTGAGATATGTTACAGCAAGCCTGAAGAACAGTCATTATTTTCCGATCAGCGATAGCTGCAGCACCAGCACCCTCCCATCCAGCCTCTCCATAGGCCTGTGCACTGAGTTCCTGACCCTCTTAAACCACCCCTGTCACATAATCATAACCTCAGAATAGGGATAGTGAGATAAACACAGTAATAAATGGCAAGAATGACTTTATCATCAAAAAAATCTAGGATAATCATGCTCTTGAGACAGCTCTGCACAGTGTATTTTCATATTTCCATTAAACATGACACAAACATCAGGGGAGGTTATGAAACTGAAGAAAAATATCTGGAAAATAAATGGGATACAGCTGAACAGGTGATTTCCTGACTTTTTTTTTTTTTCCTTAAGGAAGTACAAAACTGATCCTCGACATCAAGAAATTAAGAACAGCTCTAGGATTTGGAAAATGTCTTTGGAACATACAAAAGAGATCCTTTACTGCAAGGCCTTTTTAAGTAAAGACCTCTTGCAGTTTAGTGACAAGGTCAGAGCCATCGGTCACGAGCACAGCAGGTGACATCTCCTATAGACGCTGCCACTGTAAAATAAGTCACATTTAAGTCAGAATGTCTGTTCAGTAGAATGCCCAGAAATTAATTCATGTTTTCATTAAATACAGATGACATTCTCCCCCCAGAAACTATTAATTTTGTCCTCTATCAGAGAAAGAAATCATTTAAAGTGAGAAAGTCGTGTAATCCACACAGTGGAAAAAATGAACCATCTTTTTTGGGCAAGAGGAAGACCTTTTGAGCAGTAAGTTCTCTACAAAACCTTGACTGAATTTCTCCCTGACTACATAACAGTAAAAGAATAAAATAAAAAGCCAGTCTGACAGACATTAATATTTAGAGGGTGCTCTCAGAACAGAGTGACATTAGCCAGTGTTTGTATGCTGATCTTGCAAAAATCTGAGAGCGAACACATTGGGGTTCTTCCTGCTCAGGAAATTAGTTAATCATATTTGACATTTGCTAGAGCCACAGAGTCCAGAGAGGAGAATTGTACCTGACATATTTTAAAAAGCAATAAAAAAAAAAAATCAGAACATCACAAATAAACTTCAAGGCTGATTTCAAACAGAAAAGGCACTGCAGTGGCACGGGCAGAGAGTAACACCCAAGGAAAGATAAACTAGCAGTGAGACAGCAAGGGCATCATAGGTAATAAACCAAAAGCACTCAGTTTGGAGGGCACAATGAATTGATTGTTTTTGTAACAGCCATAGATTAGATTACATTCCATTTCCAAAGTGTTTCAATTCTTTCTTCTGTCAATGACTATTTCAGAGCTGAATAAAAGTCATTATATTACTTAGGGGGCTGCACCTTCATCCTCTCCAGCAAGGAAAAAGCAGATTTTATTCCATGAGCAACTCATATTTCTAATGGCATGCGTGCCACAAGGCTGTGATTTCTTCATCAAAAGAATAAAATGCTTATTTTCTGTCTTGAAATATGTAAGAAACTAGGAATGTAAATGCAAGAGATCACACTAGGACACAGAGTAAACAACAGCACCCAAAATACAAAGAAGGCCTTATTATTGCTGGATTAATTACCATTAATAAACTAGGGCATAAATATTTTTGACAGGACAGGAAAGCGGGTCATTAGCGTTGATGAGATGATATAAATGATCTTCCCAAAACATTCAGAGCAGTCCTGCTCCAAGTGATCCTCCCAGTTTGCTATTATCCCACCAGTCAAACATCTGACATCCAGTGGAGAACACTCAGCACTCACAACCCAGACTGAGACTCCTTTTGGCTCCTCAAATCTAATGCAATTTGAAGAACAACGAATCGCTAATAATTAAACAAACACTGAAATTAAAACCTTTTACCACCATAAAGATTCCAAATTAGGCACAGAAAACCAGAAGTTTGTGAAGCCTTTTGAAATGGATTTTCTGTTGGAGGCACAACATACACAATGATTTGCATCAGTGATTATCCTAATTAAACTGCTGTTTACATAAGTAACGTTGATTTACTTTCCATGTTGTTTGGTGTCATTAGACCAGTCATTTAATGGTGCAAATTTCCTGTAGGTGAAGCCTTCTCCCACCTTCAGCAGGCTGTGAACAGCACCTCTGCTGCAAGGAGTGAACCAGAGCAAGTTTAATACTCTACAAGCTTTAGACAAGTTTCAATCACACAAATAACTGTGTTTGTTCCAGCATGTCACTGGCCTGGATGATTGCCATGATCTGCTCCAGCCTGAAAATCCACGAGAACAGCACTGCCACACAAACAAAGGCAAAGAGTTAGTACCTTATTATTTCATTAAATGTTTTACTTCCTTAATGATGAGTGAAACTTGAGTTCCACATTAAGGAGGCCTAAGGAAAACAGTACCAGTCTAGGAACCCATGCTAGGGCAGAAAGAAGGTCTACATTTGGACTCCTGCAAAATTCCAAATGAAAAAGAATATTGTGAAGAAGAGCAAAAATGTAAAACAAACCATAGAATATGTAGTTGATCAGCTGCCTAAGTTTCAGAAAGGCTTTCAAAGAGCCAGGCACCACTCACCCTCTGGGTCACAGCATGGCTTGAGAACAGCGTCACTTTTTATTCTGTTTTAATTCCTTATGCTCTTCGCCTTACAGAACCACAGAAAACCTTCCCTAAACTCTACAACAGAAGATATTTCCTCTATTAAATTAAAAAAACCCTTCTCAGCATGAATTAAAAGTTCTGTTTAGAACTGCTGTAGGCACAAAATATGGCCCACACACCTCAGTACTTCAGTGGCCAGGACAAATTCTTAAAACTAAGAAAAGATCAGTTCTACTGTGGAACAGCCACCATGTATATTTAAGTACATTGATTGGAACTGCAGATTTTCAATCACTAATTATTGGCAGTGCCAAGATAATTATTAGTGATCAGTGCACGTAAAGACTGGAGTTGTGTCGGAAAAATTAATAGGTATGTATGGAATGATAAACTGATTTTAGTCAACTTAACTTTCAATATTATACATCACATGGAAAGAAGGAGGAAAAAACATATCAAAACTCCATGAAGATGAGGAAAAATTAAACTAAAAAAAAATTCTGAGCTATTAATCTTTCCTGATAATGAAGTACTTCAGGATGACTTCTAAAACTCACTTTCATTTAGATGCTTCATTTATTTTAATCTGGGAGATAATTAGAAGGAAATCAAATCCATCTCCACAGCAGAATATTTACCTGAGATGCAGCTCAGACTTTTCAGTATTTCCCCTGTGTGTTCAAACTCTGTGTTACACATATTGCTAAAACTTTACTGAGATTAATGTCCATTACTTAATTAGCATCAAAAGTCTACAATCTTTGAGTCTACAATCTTTGCTGATGTTAGAACAGGAATTCTTTCAGGGTTTTTTCTAACAATAGGCCAAATTTTACTGGAGAAGCTCCACACACCATCCCCAGTTCAACCTGGAAGCAGAGGGAGTAAATCTCAGCTGAAGGGTGGCCAGTTGTCACTCAAGTTCCTGCATATCCACACAAAAAAATTACCAGGGTATTGCCCTTTGCAGCAAGAAATAGGGTTGATTTATGGTGAAGACACAGAAATATTCATCAACAAGATGCTCTGTTAACCAGATTATCCAGGAAAAAAAGCTGCGTCACTGCTGAATTCTTGCTGTGAAGAGCCAATGGTTTATCTCATCCCCAGCTAATCCTGTTATAAATTATTTAGCACTCCAAATGTATCAGAGAAGAATCCTCAGTTGAATGAGCCTTCCACACACACTGGCATCCTCCAGCAATTTATTTGTAATTATCATTTGCCTTTTTTTCCATATCTAATATGTAGTTAATGAATGCCTGACATAACTGCAGCAGAAAAAAAAGACACGACTAGTTACATAATTACAGGTTAAAAAATGATCTTTTTCAGCTCCATGCACTGAAGTAATCTTAAGGGTGGAGGTTAAGTACAGGCTATAAATTGCTTTGCAAAACGTTCTGTACACTGACCACAGCAACCTCTATGTGTGGCACTGCCTTTGAAGGAAGAGTTTGATCTTATAATAATATTACAATAATATTACAGAACTTGTAGGTAGTGTCAGTCATGTCCTGTTCGTGGAACTCAGTCTACAAAAGGATGGCAAATCTGCACTTGAAATCATTATAGAATGTGAATAACATATTTCAGGGTCACACTAAGTGCCGAGAGAAGAACAAAGCAGATATTCTAGTATGGAGGCAGGCCTGTGAGCAAGAATTTCTGGGGAAAAAATAATAAAAAAATCTCCCTTTCATGTCTTCAAGAAACTGTTTCAAATAAGGTGGTTTATCAAAAAAGAAGATATGATTTCTCTCAGCCTTATCCCACCACTGGCATTCCTGTGCAAGCTGCTTCAGGCAGCTCCTCTCATTTCTAGATCACAGATTTAACTATGTTTATTATCACAGATCAAGGAAGCAATTTCTAAATACAATATTAATACTTTTCAGCTCCAATGGGGCAATTCATTCAGAGTAATTTGTGACTTTCAAGCAAATTAATAAACAAACTTACAGCACGTGACTGTTTTGAATAAAAAAAAGAGGCCTCAAGTACAAATAAATAAATCTGACTTACTAAACTGTTTGCACCAGTTAAGGGTAAGATACTCCAGGGGAATTGATAAATCCTGATTTCCTATCAGCTTGTGGAACTTTTCAGTTCCTTCAGCTAAAGCCTCAGCTCCTCCCAAACTTCCACCATTCCTGCAGGAAAGCAGCACGTGGGCAGTGCCAAGGTGGGAACTCAGTGTCCTGGATAAACTAATACAACTGGGAAAAAATATTTCACTGTTATACTTACTGCAAGGTACAGATGCTAACCCCACAGAAAATCAAACACACTTACTGGGCATCTTTCCTCTTTTTTTTCTGGGGGTCCACCAGGCGCAGAGTGTCTCTGATGACAGCAACTTTCACTTCTTCATCAACAGGGCTTGGGACATTCTCAAACACTCCAGGAGAAAGCTTTACATCACAAAGGGATAACAATTATTCACTACAGAACCAAGGATTATTTGCTTACATTATTGCTCAAACTTCACGCCCATCATCTATATTTGAAATATGCAGTGATGGATTACAAAACACTTCTTCAAGGATACACAAACACTGTCAGGTTTCCAGGATGATGTTACAGCAAATTGGGGCAAATTTCTCTAGAAAATTGAAATATTAAAAAAAAATTGTTGCCAATGTTACTGTTTATATCATGTATACAAACATGAAAAAGACTATTACCAATCCCCTAAACACAATTAGCAACTGCAGGGGATGATGAATAAATGCATTTATGACAAAGATGATGGAGAGCTTTCACTATTCCAATAAGTCATATTTGCAGTGTATAAGATTAGCAATGATTTCAAAGCAGAAAATTACAGAGAACCTTGGAGGTTTCATATTAGCAGACAGCTTTCATCTTTCAAACATGGAAAAAAAGCCCAGAAAACCCAACCTAAGCAGTTTCATTCCAATATCACCATCACATTGAGAAGTCTTACCTCTTGCTCATGTTCTATTCTCATGCTGGGGTTTGCATTTACTTCTAGTAACATGGGCTTCAAGTTTTTCATCAGGAGAATGTCAAACCCTAAAATCTGTGCATAACAAGCAATATGTTACTTCAGTTCTATTCCCAGTGTTCTCCTAGAGAATGCAATGGTCGTCCATATGGCAACACTGAGGAAGAAACACTTGAGGGGCAGGAGATAAACAACTAAGAAACTCTATATACTGCTGAATAATTACAGAAGCCATTTGTCTTGGATACTAATGGCTCCTTTCACACCACCCCCATCCCTAAATACTGCATCTGCCAACACGGAATCTTGGCTCCCGTGACAAGTGGATCTTCAAATTGCCATGATTACAGATGCTTTAGGAAGCTGCAAATCTTCAATTCTAACATGCAGAAGATGGAAATTGGAATGAATAATGTTAGTGGCAAATTACACCCACTGAAAATCCTCCATATATGTTTAGGGCTGATGGTAACACAGGTCAGGAGACTGACGTTTGACTTGGGTGAGGAGAACGTAAGCTCTGATCTCCCACAATGCTGCCCAGTGTGTGCACACAGACACCCAACCAGTGATCAGCAACATCACTAAAGAAACATTTTGGAAAAGGCATTAAACATCCACAAAATTAATCCATGCACAGAAATGACTGCATTTCTGGCAGAAATTCCAACCTACCTGGAAGCAAGTTGGCCCAGGCTTTCCTGACGGGATGTCAGACTGATAGTAAACTTTCAGTTCTGGAGTCAGTGCAATAATAGTTTTAATCACCAGTGAAATTATATCTGACCAGAGCTTTTTGACATCAGCTCCTCTGGAAGACAGTCTGCACAGAATGCTTGAAAAAGTCCTCTTGCTGCCAGTGTTTACACTGTCAGAATGGATGAAATTCTCACTATGGATATTTAGTGAATAGTTGGTTAAGTGCATAAAAACCTGGTGCAAATTTTTTAAAGTGGGTTCTTGATAGGGCTCCGTACAAAACCTAGAAAGTCCATCTTTGGCTATATAAATCTCCAAGGGTTCTAAGGATTTCAGCAAGACATAAAGACGAATATCAAATTTCAGTTTGTCCACGAGCAGTGGTTTGCAAATATATTCCTGGACCACGGCTGGCCGGCTCTGGATGCTTCCCGTCAGCCTGATGTCACTCGGGTCCTTAATGAGGTAGATTCCATCCCCCTGGCAGCCTCCATCAGGCTTCACAATAAAAGTGGGCTTCCAGGACGGATCACTGTCCTTCATCACCCGGACCTGGAAGGAAAAGTATTGCACTGAAAGGCACTGATCGAGGGGGGAAGAAGGGCTGACACTGTGAAAGCCAGTAAACAAAAATAAATAGAAACAGCATGATCACACCCCAGAGTAGTAAACACCATGCAAAAAGGGCAGAGATAAACTGTGCTGAGAAGCACAAGGAGAAACAAAAAAGCATGAGTTGGGAATTACTAGTACAGATAAAAAGTCATTTTATTTAACAAGCCATTGTATAGATGATTTCAAGAACTTCTTTTTAATGTTCTGCACCAATTTGCAGAAGGAAATGTGGTGTATCTCGGGAGATCCACCTTAGTAGTATATGAAACTGCAAAGTTAAACTTTTGTGCTACATTTTGAACAATAACTGACGAAGATAATCATCAACACAAGGAAAGATGCCTTTTTTATTCAGGTATGAATTCAAACAGTATCAGAAGAAGGAAAAATAAAGGAAAAATTTGGCACTGACAATATCTTTTTCCCCTACTGTGAATATTTTTCACAATCAGATGCCCAGTGTTAGTAAAACTGGGAATGTTGAGCCATGTACAGATATAACCAGGTCACTGACACATCTGCTGAGTATCAGATTTTTCTTGTTACATGCGTATTTCCCACTGCCTAAATAAACTTTAATTTATTACTTGTATAGCAAAAGTCAAAACTGCAGAGATGGAGATGCCTCAATTAGCAGAGGTGAAGTTGAGAAAGCAAGGGGAGCCCTAACAAAGAAAGCAGTTAAAGAAAACACAGGATGCAGGTTACGGGTTTATCAGCTACTCGTGGGATTCAGAAGAATAAAGCACTTAAAACCTCGTCCTTTCAAGAGGGAGGGATGTCACAGCACAGATCATTCTTTTCTTGCATCCACACATTTCAGGGCACCAGACCTGCAGCTGCTACTCTCTCCCTCCAGCCAGGCACGTGCTGAACCGAGGCGGAGATCTGGTTTTTGCCCTGCGGTTTGCCAGCAAAAACTGGAGATTGACTTTTAGAAGCCTGAGGACCCAAGCTAACAAAGAAAAAACAATCAGTTGCCACCATCAGGCCTGCAGAGTGAGAGGAAAAAATCAGCCCACAGAAAAAGGCTGAGCATGGTCAGATCATTGTGATTTTCTCTGCTGTGACATTAAGCCGCCAACCCCCATGAGAGGCCCAGCTCTGCCAGCAGTGACATTCCCAAGGTCTGAAGGACTTCTGGCTCCACCTTATCCAGTTATTTATTTCATTGAGAGTCACACTCCTGCAGGAGAAACTCAAGATCCATTATCCAGACTAGGATTTTTCTCGTGGACAGGTGTCACACTGACTCAGTGAAAGATCCTTCTCCAAAATAGGTCACTTTGAGGGATAAAATGCCTCAGTTGGAGGTCAAGCTTACATAAATGGCACATGGATAAATAAGTCCAAGTAGATCAGCAGGCCTAGATGTGCAAAGAAGGAAAGCAGGATTTATGCCCTAGTCTTTTTACCACTATAGAATAATCTTCCCCTGATGTGACATTACTCTGCAGAGCAGAGGAGTTCTCTGGTTCACCGTTGTTAAACTCAGCATCGCAGAGACAGATCTGGTTAATCTGAACCCTCCATGACCAAACATACCCTGATATGACTCTAGTTGGATGTGTGAAGGGTCAATCGTGGTCTACCAGGGCAGAAAGTTACACAGAACCTTTATGAAACCAGGTGGCACATTCTGCCTCCCAGGCCCACGTCTGCTGTTCACCCCTCAGGCTACTCCTGCTCCGCTCCAGCAACACCTTTCCAAAGGAGATGATGCTTTCCAGGGACTATTGCTAAAGATGCAACAGCAACCTGCTTTTCAAAAACACTGCATTGTAACAGCCACTGGTCTCAGAGATCTCATGCTTAACTCTACTCCTAAAATAAAAAGCAAATAATTTTCTCCATCTCTTTCTAGTTCATTTTTGATGGACTAGACGGCCTGGACATTATTGAGGCTTTCTTGTCCATCAAAACCTACATGTGGCAGATGAAGATAGGCTGGTGTGGAAAGGGGGAATAGTAATCCAGAGTCAGTCTGTTTTTCAGCAGATTGACTGTCTTGAAGAAAACAGATGGTTTCTTGATCTTCAAGGAAATTCCCAACAGTCGTCTTCAAATTCTCCACAATCCCCTCAACTACATTCTTTCAAATTCTCATTATGAGGAGGCTTGTCCAGACTCAGAAAATTCACTCATGTAGGAAAATTAGTTCATGTGAAATGAGATATTTCTGTGTCCTTTGCTTGACAGAAGGAAATTATCTTTAAAAAACACATTAACCATTTACAGTCAACAGCAAGAGGAGAGTTTGGGGAAAATCTGTGGGTTTGCCTTTCATAAGGAAACACAGGCTGAATGAATATAGTGTTCTGGGAAAAATGCATATAGTGGGCTATAAGATTTGACAGCACAAAGACCAGAATATTCATGTCTATGCCTAAGAGGTATCCAAAAGCTGAAAACCTAATTAAACCACCAAAAATAAGCTATGCTAGAAATTAGACTGTCCAAATCAGATTCTTATTAAAAATTAATCATACTGGTCTATTCATCATCCTCACAGACAACACAAAGAAGGAAGTATGAGAACAATCAAGGTCCTGGTTTGAATCCCAAGCTAGTTACTTTTCAGAAACTCGAATTCAGGGTTTATTAGAAGTAAGTTCTTAGCACACACGTTCCAACAGATTCTTCTCTGCTAGTGAAGGAGCAACTACTGCAGCACCTGAGATTTGCTTATCTGTAACTCATCTTCTGTTAAAGTGACATGTCAGTAGAAAATGTTTTATAAAGTTAAAAATTGGTGAATACTGAAAATAGCTAAATACATATTTACTTAGTAAAATGGACTTTTAAGCCCTTGTTGAAAATACCCATCATCATTTCAATACAAATGACACAAAGGGAACTCCCTTTTTGCTGGTATTTCCAATCTGAAGCTCATCCACCACAAACTCAAGAGTGCAGTTTTCTCACCAACTACTGGCTTTCACAGCACAGAAGATTAATATTGCCTGTAGTGTTTTCTACCTGAATCTAGGCATAGGGGAAAGTGGGAAAAGCTGAAAACATTTGATTTCATTACTGATGCCTGTGTATGAAAAAGTTCACAATCATGACTACCAAAGCGAGGCACAATAAGAATATTTGAGAGAGAAATCATTTTGAAATGTTGCAGTGCATCTGGGGAGGCAGCAAGACTTAAATTCTCAAGGAGTTTCTTCTTTCAATAATCGTTTCTATTACAGGCAAAATCTCACAGGTGTTCATTTTCAGTCCAGCCCTTTGCAACAAAATCTTACATTACAAACAGCACCAAACCATCTTTTCATGTGTGACCTACAGCTACACTGACACATGATTTGTGATCTTTGATAATTCATATTCCAGCGTATTCCAGCTCCTCCAGGGACGCGTGTAATGTGCAGACACCACCAGTGCTGAACTCCTCTTGTCCGGGAACAAGCTGAAGTGCAGTCTCGGAGAGCTGACGTTCTTGGCAGCTTTAGGGTCCCTCAGTTGCAAAGCAAACACCATCACATATGAACAAATAAGCAACAGAAAAGACTGGAGAACTCCTACTGAGAACTCACAAAACTGCAAGTGAAAAGTGTTCTGAACCTTTTATGGTTCACAGTGGATTTGGAATGTTTGGGTTTGTATTTTTCCTTGTTCTGGAGGGGTTACACTCCGAACTGTGTTAAGTAGAACATAAACTCTTACAACATAAAATATAATGTTTGATAACAAGAACTATGCTTTTCTCCAACACAGATGGAAGAACATATGCAAAGGAAACTCCTAGGAGTGTGTTACTGGACATCTGTTACTCTTGGAAGAAAACCCGGCTCGTTTTCCCGGCAGTGAGTGCTGGAGCAGAGCAGTGTTTATTCGCAGTGCCACCTGCTGCCAGCGCACGGGGCTGAGCGTGGCGCCTGCAGCTCAGCCCCTCCTGGCCCAGCCCGGGTCAGCAGTGCCTTGCACCTCCCAAAAACCTCCCCAGCACACCCCCACTGCACCCTTCTCAAAGTTTACTTCCGAGTTATTTGCACTGGTCGACCCGTCGTAGCTAAACTTGGTCCTACAGTTTGTACATCAGTAAGGCTGAAGTGCTGTCGGGATTTTGTTCATTTTTACTGTTCCTAGCAGTGACCCAGCACGCTTGAGGAGTGTGTTAAAAAGAATAAAAAGAATAAATATAATTTAAAAAAAAATAATTAAAAAAAATAAAAATATGTTAATGAATTCAATTGGATTGTGGATATGGTAATTATCTAAAAGGTAACACAGAGTACAGGAGTCTGTTAAAGCCCAGACCTTTTTCTCCTCACTTTTCCAAGCAAAGCACACTGTGGGATGCAAGAAGACACTGGGCGAGTCAGACAGGGTTAAACAAACACACACAAGATTTTAAAAATATTTGTAATAACAGAACAAAACACCAACACACAGCATTGCTTTTTTTTTCCTCCAAAAAGCTGAAAAAGAATGGTATTTAATTACATTCTGAATAGTTAAATACAGCAACAGTCTGACAGGAGAAGATGTGAGTGTATTTAACAAGGCACAGTACAAAATGCTCTTCTGAAGGATTTTGATACAACAGGCCAAATGGACTAAAAAGAGTCCAGTGCCAGTGAAGCTGGTGAAGCACCCCACTCCCCACACTGCTCTGGAACACTCTCAGGCCAGTAGAATGTGCAGGGAAAGGGCTTATGGCTCTACCAGGTTCAACTTTCAGACCTCTTTTCTGGAATGGCAGAGAAACAGAACTGTTTTGAAGCTTATTCCAGAACATAACAAACAAAAGCAGTTCGTCCAGACTATGACTGATCCCAGACAAACTGGAAAAGATGTCATTCACAGCCCCTTAGTGTGATTTTAAATAACTCAGTAGAAGACTAAAGAATTACATGGATACAATATTCAACAAGTTGTACTATTCTGAGAGTAAAAGTAATCTACCTCAGCCACAAAGAGGGGAAGTTCTTCTGGCAGAATCCAGGACCGAGGGTAGAAGTTATACTCAAGAGGAAACAGGTCCTGCATTGTTCTCATGGCCCGACTCAGGGTGATTTTCCGTACTGTCTCCATCATGCCTGGGAAAAGAACAGTGTCTAGAAGTGACAAAAAATCCACTCTCGAGTCTCATCCTAGAAGTAAATGGCTAATCATTACCCACCCTGCTGGGAAGGCATTCTGGTCACTGCTGCCAATAAAGCTGAATACCTTTTAAAATTTAAAATCTGACAAAATAGTTGTAGCGTTCCCCTGCCACATTTCCCATCGTATGTGTTACTGTAGCATAGTAGAAAAAAATTAATTATCAAAAATACAGCTCAAAGACAGAAAACTTCACTCAAATATTAACTGTTGTCTTTGCCATAATCCAAAATTATTTTTATTGCCTCTTGTTCCAGGAATGTGTAAAAATGCCATTTGAATATAATCAACCACTTTGTGTTTACTTTGCAGTCATTTAAGTAACTGCATCACAAAGAACAGGTTATTTTATGAACAGCAAAACAAACTCACATATATATTTTGAATTATTATTTATTTAAATTTATTGAAATCCTGTATCCATTGGGAACAGGACTAAGGTGTTATTTTTATGGAAAAGCTTCCAGTAAAACCCAGCATCAAGTTAGCACAACAGTCCTGGAAACCAGGTCTGGTTCTGAAGGGCTCTGGTTTGACTCCTGTGCAGCCACTTGTTAAGCAGGTAGAAGCCAGAATACAGAAAGGTAACATTCATTTAACACTGACTGAAACCACCACAAAACAACAGCATCCTACACCTGAGTGGGAACTTCCCTGAGGCAGGAGAAAGCCAAGGTAAAATAAAGCCTGGAGTTCGATATCTGAGGTTCTTATGCTCACAGCATACTAACAGCAGCAATAAATCTGAAGTAAAGGGCTTAGATAAGTCAATACTTAAGCTCTTAGCTCTTATTTAGAGAGATCTCAACAGGGATTAAATGGGAAAAAAAGGAGCTTAAAAAAGTAGAAGAGTCATCATAAGATGAGGACTGACATGAACTCTTCAATATTAAAAAAACCATTTAAGGAATTCTGCTTCGAGCTTCTCCCCAAGATAAGCCAGAATAGGAAACAAAACAGATTCTTTCCACTTTGAATCAAAACCAAATCCAAAGATACAGCACTGTTATCAGCACCAGATAACAGACAGTAATTGCACACTTCACTTAAATTATAGCCTGACACTCTAATATTTCCTAAATTCACGTGTTTGAAGTATTCTTCTCTCCAAAACAAACTTCAGTTCAGAAACTGTTCAAGAGACCCATTCTCATATCCTTACCCCCTAAGCAGAAATCACCTACCAAGCCCAGTAACATGCTAAAAATACTATCAGCTGATTAAGCAGATAATTCTCATTAAAAACAGTAAAACACAGATATAGGTCAATATTCACGTTTTTAAAGCATTTGTTTAAACCAGAAACAGCAGTCAAGTACCTGGAAACTTGTTGACTTGACCTGAGAAGATATTATTGTCATGAAACGACACCCCATGCCAGTAGATATCGCAGGGCAAGCGGCGGCCAAAAGGAAACTGGAAGACAAGAGACAAGTTTTGAAGCAAGATGGGAATACCCATTCATTCCTTTCTTTTCTAAACACTCACAGTGAGCATGAACCACTCAAGAATAGTCTTCTGATTGTCAAAAGAAAACAAGCTCTGTATTTGGGTTACAAAACTAAGAATACTTGGATCAGTTTGAGGCTCTTAAGTTAACAAACCAGGAGAGGTTTTAGAAACCAAACCCAAATGACTGAGAGGCACGAGCTGTTCTGGGAAACCCCATCTAATGAACTACATCCGAGGCACAGCTCATTTATAATTTAAAATACCATTACAGGGAATAAAATTCCACTAAGAAGGACTTAATTCTGGCACCTGAAGGCACAGCAATAGCAAGTGCCAGAGCTGGGAAGCAAACACTGACTTTGGGGTTGGGGTTTTTTGGGGGCTGGATTTTTTTCCCTCTCAGTTTAAGGGATGACAAGCAACCACCAAGGGACACAAGCACTAGAGGCCATGGAGGAGTTGTCACTGCTGGCACTTACTGAATCAACTCCTATTCTTACAAAACTCACCATTTAATGCCTAGTCTGTGCTCCCCTCTCCACATCCCTTTCCCAGACTGCACCCACACCCACAGGCCCTTCACCCCCAACCACGTGGCATCTCCACGAGCTCCCAGCCTCACATGAGCACAAAACAGTTCTGTTCTTTAGTACTTTATTGCAGGGAACACCTACAGGGAGGAATATTGCTCTAAATTTACAGTAAGTTAAAACTGCAAAGCACTTTCTGAGTAAGCCCATTTACATTGGTGTCCAAGCTGCAATAAATGTGAAATGGATACTCAAAGCAAGATATTTAAGTGAAATAATTGCATTATTCATTTATGTATATTCAGTTATAAGTATTAATTTATACAGTATTAATTCCTTTCTGGTACTAATAGCCTGTAATTAAAATAAAAGCTTGCAGTTGCATTAATCATTTGTTGAGCATATATATTTCAACTATTAAGAACTAAGGCAATTATTTCAACACTATTAAGTGTTCCAGTTTCTTTTCCAATTCACACAAGATTTCACTGGAAATTGGAAAACTGTATAGTTTGTTTTCTATTATCAAAAAGACCAACCTTTTTCTAAGCAGTCTGAAGAGCTCAGAAGCAGCGCTGCCAATTACTGAGAGCAAGTTTCTAATAGTAGTAAAGTGGTTTAAAAAACCCCAATTAGTTTTGTGTAAAGAAGGTTCTCTTCTTTTTCACGCTTGTTCTCTCAGACACAGTCCCATTTATCAATCCAAAAAAATCCCTTTTTATCTGCAGCTCCATGTAGATGCCATTTAACTACCATATGGAATATATTCACAGGAATCACTTCTATGACTAGGCTATATCTTTTTCAAATAAATAAGTTATATTTAGCATTTTTAGGGCACATTTGCATTAAATATCTACCACTCTCATCCCCCAGTACCGTTTACTCTTTGAAAGAACCGCAGTATTTTGCAGAAACGTCTTGTTCCTTACTCCAAATGCAATTTTTCTTGCTTTAAAACATTTCTTTAAGCACTGGATTATTTTTTTTCCAGTATGACAGAAAAAAAGAATCTCATAAAGCTTTTGAGTGCATTACTTTATTTGCTACTTTAATTAAAATTTCAGCTTCCTCTGTAAATAGCCTTCAAAAATTAATTTAAAATGCTAATTGAGGAATGCATCCTTTCTCTGTTTCCTTACTTGCAGGGATGAGAAACCCAATTTAACAGAGTCAGTGGATTCTGCACTTATTTCATTATTATTCAGCCTGCAAAATCTGGTTTTGTACAAGTGAAAATTAATTCTGTTGGGCTCTGAAAGACAATCAGTGGCCTTAACCTCTCCCCACAGGTACCTCCAGAATACAGATGCAGCCTTCGGTCTGAGAGCGCCCTTCCCACTAAAACCCGAACAATATATTTATTTATTAAATGAAATTGAAATGAAAGGAACGAAATTTGCATTTATATAACACCTTTCATCTAAGGAGGATATCAAAGCACTCTACAAACACTGCACAGAAATCATTTCAGAGCAGATGAGGAGGGAGCAGCTCTGGACAGGAACGTGGCAGTGCTGCAGCCCCACGTCAGCAACTCAGCATGGCAACGTCCTGAGGAACCAAGATTATCTGGATTTATCCAACAATGGCATCAAACTCCTCTGAACGAGCTGGGGAGGATTCTATCTGTTCTGCACTACACTATTACATAAGAGCAGTGTTTGGAGAGGAGCCAACAAGTTCGATTATTTGGCCCCTCTGGCAGTGACTGGCAGATGTAAATTAATGTTCCTGTGGTAGAAGAGGAGTTTTCACTACATTTCCAGCTCCTGGTGCAGGCAATGGCTAAAAAGAAAGATGGATACAAAACCTCCTATCTTCACCTCCCCTGTGGCAACTGGAATAGCCTCACTATCCTATGCCAAAGCCAAGATGGTCCCACCCACAGGGGGACAGAGGTTGTAAAGGTGACTGGAGCCATCCTTTTTTAAAATCTTTTTTTATTCACATTTGGAGAACATTTGTCTGAACAAAACAAACAAGTCATAAAGAGAATGGCACTGTTTCCACAACTTTGACACCATTAACAATCCATCACAGTCAAATCTGTGAGGCAGGTCGCTTCTACCTTTGGATTAGAAGCCAATAATTTAAACTGTCTCACGGGTCACATCAGCCTGTTCCATCATGTTTAATGACAAGTTAAATGACTTGTCTTCTAGTCAGCCCTTCCCAGCATAAAATTTCCAGCTATCCCTTTGCCTCCACGCAGCCACGGAACAGCGAGACAAATGGAACGCTCGACGCTGGGATATTTGATGCCTGAGACATCTGCTTCTTCCATTTTCCTGGTAATTGAAAGCTTGCCGAAGAAATAATTTATTAAGTGATGAACAAACCCGAGATGCAAGCTCAATTTGTGCCCATTATTTCATTTGGCATATCATGTTCATTTAAAGAATCTGTCACGCCCGATCAGATGGTCCGATGTAGCGATGGGAATTGCTCCACTGACACATGGAAATTCTGCAATGCTTTTTAAAAGGTCCACCCCAGACAGGCCTATCACAGTTGATAATTTAATTCACTCCAAATTCCCACAGCTGAAAGAAGAAAGTTGGGTTTTTTTCCTGTCTTTTGCTTCTGGTAGCAGAATCTCAATGACCAACTTGCTCTGTCTTGGAGTCCTTTGCTCCTTCCTCATGTATCAGTGCCACAGAATAAACTATCACCAATATCAGCCATGTTCAGAGTATTCTTAATTTTTCTGTGTCTTATTATGGCATTTACCATATGTCAGTTCACTAATGAACTACTACCATGTGGCCAATTCTGTAATCACACGGTGCATTTGTGTCTTACTTCTGCAAATGGAGCACATTGCAGGGAACAGACTGTGACTGAAACCAAGTTCTTCCAGCAAGTCATGGAAACTACAGCACAGAGGTTTTGGAATGCACAACTTAAAAAAAAAAAAAAAAAAAACCTAAAAAAAAGGATACATGACACCATAAAACACTGTACATTAGAGAGAAAAAGCTATGAATGAAAAAGAGCCACTTTAAAAAGGACATTATACTGTCTCCTGCCCAATAAAATGTTCCAGCCAACACATCCAGCAGCAAACAGAGGAAACAGAAACAAAACAGAACCAGCAATGGGAAAAAATGTAAGAGAAGTGGAAAAGGAGAAGAAGGATCACTTGAAAAGTATTATACAAGGAATGACAGCAGAATAGCAGCCACTGAAACATCAGTATTTAAAATCTCTGCATTTCATTACTGCTTCCAAGACTTTTTTTGCATATCTGTGCGGGTCCTACAAGCAACATCCGTGTTCCCTCTGCTGGTCCTGCTGTAACAGTGCAACCAGCTCCGAGGCTCTGCCCGTCGGTGACAGTGGTTTGAACAAATATCTTACTGCTATTTCTCTAAACATCTGAAAGGGACAGCTTTCAAAATTAAATTCAGCCTGAATAAAGTTTTCCTTGGACTTCTCTTCTTAATTTTGTTTATTTTTCTCTTCAGATCCAGACCAGATCTTGCTGACTGACTGCCTGTGTCTACTGAAGTCTGCCAGCTGGGAGGCAGGAGTTTGTCTTGCTCCCATCCTAGAAGAATTTCACCTTTGTGTTTTCCACAAAGTAACCAGCACTAGTTCAGAGTCAGAGCTAATACTGGTTCATTCCTCTTTCCACCTTCAGGATGGGGTGGGAAAAAAGGCAGGGGAAACATGATTTGACACATATTTTCTTGTATCCTTTTTGACAAAAGGAAACATCACATTCATATTATTAACCTATTTGTAAGCTGCAAATATACAGGAAGACCTGAGAGTGACTTGTCTTAAGGAATGAGTTATCAGCCACCCAGATGGTGCAGTCAAGCACCACAAAATTCCATATTAGGCCTCTTCTTTATTAAGATACAAAGTGGCCAGAAGAGGAAGCAACAGACTAAATGAAAAATATTGACTGAAGAAGGAGATGGAGGAGAAAGGATATTGAGTGAGACAGAAAACAGAGAGATGAAGCAAAGGCAGCAGCGATTGCTGATGGGGGATGCAGAGCAGGAAGGAAAAAGCTGATTATTGCAATGCAGAGATTCATGAGAGGAACAAGAGCCTGTAAAACAAGTCAATTAGTAGGACAGAAGGCCAAGTGCAAGACACATGCAAAACACTGAAGTCTCTGGAAGCTATAAAGACCAAATTACCACTAAGTGTGGCTCGTTCCCAGCACAGTCTGCAGGGCTAACTGACACCAGTGATCCAGAAACACTCACTGGAACAGCTTTGGGCCCCCTGAACATAAAACTTAACCATAAAAACAAAGAAATTAAGTGTGAAGTCCCCCTGCTCTGTATGTTCCTGCATAGGACACAGAGCAAGGCTGCTGACAGACACTCCACAGGTGCACTGGGGGCTAAGAGAGGTAAATGTAACAGGTTTTAATTTCAAGGCTCTGGTGTGTTTGTTACTATTTTGCTGTACAAGCAGAAGTTGAGAACTGGGGCGCTCCTGCAATGAGGTTTTGAAATTCTCCCACTGGATTTAAATAACAAAAATCTTGAAACAAAGTTTTAACAAGTCAAAGAAGGAGAAAGCATTACACTCCCTGGCATGGAGCATACGTGTCTTTGTGGAATTAGGTATTTAGGACATTATGAATAAACTCAGTAACATTTACTGCCACTGAATTCTCCAGAAAATACATGTGTAGCATCTAACTCTGAAGTTAGGAACAACACAGAATATACTGTCTGTCCCAAGTCTGTATAAACCTTGTTTAAAATGCACCAGGTGCACAGAAGTGTCATTATCTCGTGAGTGGGATCCCAAATGCAGCTTTGTGGAGCAGGTGCAGGTCAGAGATCACACAGCTCCATGCGAGCTCTGCACGCGAGGAACAGATCATCCTCAGGTTTTATCCCGCCCTTCCCCTCCAACTTCCCCCTTCCAAATGCATTACAAATACCCTTTTTCTTACACAACTTCCTCACAAAGTTCCTAGAAGCCATCTCAGCTCCTAAAAAGCCATTTGTAAAGCTATCAGTGAAAGAAAATCTTTAGAGTTTGAGAACAGTTTACCACCTATAGTAAGATATATCTAAAATATCTCTCGAGGAGTTAAACAAGGAGTTCCAAAGTATCTGTTTTGTGCCAGCTCCCCTATTGCTATGACTCCAGTTCAGCACAGGCAGACACTGCTCACACAGCACAGAGAAAACACATGACTCAAGCAGCAGGATTAAAAAATAGCCATAGCTCCTCTACATAAAGTAAATTAGCAGGCTAAAGCCTGTTATGTGTGCCTTATTCGGTGGCTTAGCACTATTTCATTCATACACCACGCTCTCTGACACGCCTTTGAGATGATGGCAGCGGCTTTGCCGCGGGATCAGGCAGCGGATCTGCCGGCTCAGAGCTCCTGCCGCTGCCACGAGCGGGATTCCACGTACCCAAACCCCCAGGGGAGGGTGGCAGGGAGAAATGCGAACACACACAACACGCCAAACATTTCCACATTAGGAGCAGGTTTCTTTGTTGCCCTTTCCGTCAGCGCAACATTTGACTGCCCCCTGTGCTGCCCCGTGTACCCGGCGATGGCAGGTCGAGACCATGAATCGAACCGGCTCCGGGCGTGACATGTGGTGAGAAATCACGCCAGGGTCGGGGTGGCCCAGCCAGGACGCCCCCCCGGTTCAGCAGCTCAGCGCTGCTCAGGGAGGCAGACGAGGAGGAGGAGGAGGGAGGAAGGCTTTGCCGGGGCAGACCCCGAGGGGAGGCAGGGGAGTCTCCCCAGCAGCGCCGCCAGGCCGGGCCGGAGCAGGGGCAGGAGGGGGAGCCCCCCGAGGGCCGGTCCCGCCGCGGGGCGCTCACCTCCTTCCAGCGGAGCTGCCGCAGGCTGATCTTCAGCGCCTCCAGCGAGGTCTTGGCCTTGGAACTGTCCACTGTGACCCCGGGCCGCCGGCTGCCCTCGTCCCCGCCGCGCCGGCCCGGGGCCCGCCGGGCCCTGCCCCGCGCCGCCCGCCCGCCCGGGCCCTGCCCCGCGCCGGCCCCGCGCCGGCCCCGCTCCCGCTCCCGCCCGCTCGCGCCGGGCAGCGCCCCTTCCCCCGGGGCCGCCGCGCCGGGCGGCCCGGCCTGCCGGGGCTCGGCGGGCAAGGCCGGGGACCCCGGGGGCTCCTCCGCCTCCCGGGCTGGCTCCGTCCCAGCCGGCTCCATCCCCGCCGTCTCCATCCCCGCCCGTTCCACCCCCGTGCCCGCTGTCCCCATCCCCGCCGGCTCCGGCTCCATCCCCGCTGGTTCCATGCCCATCCCCGCCGGCTCCATCCCGGCCGGCTCCATCCCGCCCCCGCTCCCCGCCCGTTGCCATGGCAGCGGCGCGGCACGTGACCCGCTCGCCCCGCCCCCCGCCGCCGTGACGCGCTGACGCCGCCTCCGCCATTTTGGAAAGGGGCAGGGCCGCCCACCGCTCCCGGGGAGGCCATTTCGAAGGGCGCGGGGGGGGGCCGCCATGTTGGAAGCGGGCGGAGCTCCCCCCTCACGGCGGCTCCGCCTCAGGGGGGGTGTGGGTGCGGCCTCCTGTGGCCGCCGTGTTGTTCACCACCGAAACCTCTTCCCGGGGGGCTCAGACACAGAATCCGCTCCTTACCGTGTGGTGGAGCGATTGTCATGTGAGGCGGGGGTCCCGCCGCCGTTACAAAGTGCTGCCTCCTCACAAAGGGTGTTCCCACGCTCTATTCGGGTTCAGCTCAATCAGTGCTGCTACAGCCCCTCATCTCCGGATTTTAAACACTCTTACACTGCCCGACTCAAACGCACTGCAAGAAAGTACGGAAACAGCTTTTACATTGTTTATGATGGAATTAATAACCTTAACAGCAGCTCTGTGATCAACCTGAGCAAGCTGGAAGGTTGTCCGTGCCCACGGCAGGGGTTGGAACTGTACCGTCTATTTTAAGTCCCTTCCCACCATTCCAGGATTCTGTGATTCTATGATATAGGAATCCCTCACGATATAGTTGCAATGAAATTGAGAACGTCTCAAAAGGGAGCAAAAGCAGATTTGGGGAGTTAAGGCAGCGCAGGGCAGTGGGCAGGCGGTGGCGCTGCGCCCTGGGAAATCCAGCCTGGATGCAGGGAATTCCGAGACTTTGGGGGGAAAAAGGCAGGAATGATCAGGATTCTGTGTGAAGGAGCGGTCGCTAGAGTCTTGCCCTATATCAAGGCAGCAAAGAACCCATTTAAATGAGGGTAAAATTTAAATAAATGCTGCAAAAGCTGGGACTTAGTTGGCCGCGAGTTAAAATAAAAAGGTCTTATCAAGACCACGCTCCTGACTGTGGAACTCCCTAGGCCAGGAAATACCAATGTATCTTTTATCTGCTAAATCAGGTTTTAAGAATAGCTGGATTAATCTCGCATTCTCACCTCACACACACCCGGGTGTTTTACAGACACAACACCCCAGTAACGGTGGTTCCGCACGTGTGGACCCTTTTCCAGAAGTCAGCTGTAGTTTATAAAGAAGAAAATTTAATTACCAAGACACTGTCTTATTTCAACAGCAAACTAGAGCTTCACCTGCAACATTCACGATATAGCTATGGGGCAATGAAATTGAGAACACGTTAAAAGTTTTTTACACCCGTATTTTTTCAGTGCCTGATCTGTCTTCTGCCATTTACCCTTGCAGGCAACAAAGAAACTAATTAATTAATTAACTAGAGTTACAATGTGAAGTGACCAGGAAGGCTCAGGCGATGTAGCTCGCTCTTGGTTCCTCCCAGGTTGCTATTAAATGATGTGCATTATTTTTTTTTATAGCTGTGACAGTTTTTAATTAAAAACTTCAGAGCGTTTCCATGTGCCAGCAGGAGCTCAGAGGGACCAGTAACGTTGGCAGGACGAGCTGTCTGGGTGGTGTCTTTTCTGTGTTCATCACTCAAAGCACATCCTTGGCCTCACCAACCACCACCAGATCACAGAATCACAAAGTGGTTTGGGTTGGGAAGGACATTAAAGACCATCCAGTTCCAGACCTCTTCCATGGGTAGGAACAAATTATGAAGAAAAAGGAATGTTTTGCTTATGTTTAACATAGGCACAAAAAGTTCAGTTGTAAGAAAAGCAATTCAGAGATGTTGGAGTGTGATTTAAAATGGTGACCTGACTGACTGTCTCCCATTTTACTACCAGGCTCCCAGATGAACATTTTTTAACACAGAGATTTATCCTCACCAACGTCAGCAGTGCTAAAGGAAAGCCAGAGAAAGAGTTAAGATGGGCCAAGGCATTAAGAGGCTTTGGAGCATGGGAAATACCAAACAAAATGATTGCAAAGGGGAAATATTTTTATATCTAGTTATGATATATCCACATTTCTTACAGGCTAATAACGGACTAGTTGTTTCTCTGCCCGAGAAGCTGTAATAAATCAGATACCTGCTTTGCCCTGGACTGTGTGGAGAAAACCTTCATTTCCTGTTGAGATAAATAGAGATGGGCTGCAGTGTGCAGCGTGGGGTCAGGCTGTACGTGGCATTCAGGTACTGCAGGGTGGAGAGTAAAGTATAGGTTGGGTGGTAATGAGGTACAAGGTAATGCAGGAGAGTGTATCCCGCTGGATACTGCAAGCTGGATCTAGCAGCTGGAGAGAAATAGAAAACTTCAGATCATCTCTCCCCTGTGAGGAGAGGGGAAGATTAAAGTTATGGTGTGCTGTTAAACACAAGCTTGTTTCCTGAGACCCTTGCTCAGAGGGAGTTGTTGATAAGAACAAACTGGTACTGTCTCATGATAATAAGTGAACAAGAATGTGCATTCCATCCAGGAGAACTGTAATGTCCTGTACTCTCATTAAATTCAGGATGTCAAATACAACAGAGGTATAATTTTATAGGAATGGGTAAGGATACTGCCTGATTGTACAGTATTTTACTCATCTCTCAATAACAACTTCACCCTCATTTACCCTAAATCGTCACTTACTGGGTCATTATACCATGACATGGTTAACCTGATGTTTGTGTGCACAGGTAAATGCCAGGTCCAAGCTGGAACCTGGGCACAAAGCAGTTTTACAGATGCAGTAAGTGTGAGATTCCCATCATGACACTGTGCTGATCCCAGCAGCTCATACTGAGGGTGAACTGTGCTGCCAACCCGTGGTATATGGAATTCATGAGTTGGCCATGTGAACACATCAAGCTTATGAGGTTAAGTAACATTTTTCTTTAATATTAAATTTGCATTCTTCTAGTAAGCTTTTGTGTTTCTGAGTTGGGATCAAAATGTCTCGCTTTTCCCTAGCATCATAAGGACAGTAACTGCACTCTTTTCTACATTTTTCTTTTTCAAGGATAGCCAAGACAAGAAAAACCAAGTAACATGTAATTTACAAAAAGAACAAACCATCTTTTTAAAATATTATATAAAACTGGCCCCCTGCCAGAGGCAAATTTGCAGAAATACTTTAGTGTACTGTTCTGAAAAAGAACACATTCCTCAAGCTATTATTAAAAAAAAGTTACTCATGAAGAACTATCCATCTGTGTCTGAAGTTAGTAGCTCTTTTTGCAACGACGCAACTTCTGTCAGTTGTACTTTTTCACAAATCAATAAGAAAGCAAAATGAAAAATCAGAAGAAAATAAATCTATAAACCAACTCCTCCTGGAAAATGTCCGTGGTGGAGTTATGCTTCAGCCTGGGTTTAAATCCATATACATCACCCCTGCTGCCCATGTTTATGTTAGACCACGGAAGATTTGTGGTTGACCTACATATGCAAACAAAACATTTGCCGCATATTTGGGGTGGGGGGGATTTGCATGATAGAAGATGATGAAAATATGCATAATTGTAGATGACATTTCTCATTCCCCAGTCCTGCTGCACAGCCCTTTGGAGCTGGCCATGCATGAAAGAGGCTGCAGTCCTGACGGGCAGATTGCCTGTGCCGAACCGCCGAGACATTAAGCTTCTGTTTGTTCTTGAGCAACACAAATCTGGTATAATCATCTCACCAAGCAGCCCCTCTGCTCGCAGAGGGCACGGACGATGCTAGCTGAGGGGGCTGAAACCACGAGTTCCACATGTCACTGCTGAGCTCACGTCACGTGACGGCTTCAGAGACTCAAGTAAAGATTTTATTAGTGAGTTTTCTTGGTTTTCCTCAAATCCCCAATGCAGAGGGTAACAACACACAATTTCAGTCAACAGTAGCTAATTTATCTATTCTTGCCTTCACATTTCATCCCACAGCAGCATTTCTAGGAAGTCTGCTGGCGGGTTAGTACACCAGAGACTTTGCTCTAAAAATTGCACCAGCACAAGTAAGTATTAATAATGTTGATGAAGTTGCATGACAAACCCAGATCTCCTAGGATGGTAAAGCATGCACAGATCTCTCAGCTCTCACAAGGATGATATGGAAGTGCTTTCCTGTAACAGAGGTTTTGTCTGCCATTACTGGATGTCTGTCCGGTTGTTCTTGCTATGTCACATCTTATTTATCATTTAAAATCTTTGCAGCGCTGCTGTCCAGAAAAAAGCGCCTAAAATGGTTAGAAGAAGGGAGGAAAATTCCTTGGCATCAAGACCAGGTCTCCTTTGGAAAGCTGAAAGCATACAGTGGATCTGCAGCAACTTTATCTGAGTTGTGAAGGTGGATTTGGAAAAATATGACATGATCTGACAGGAACAATAGCTCCCTTCCCTGTAAATCACCTGAACAACTGATAAAGAACACCCTGCAGGACCACAGTTGAGGTCTCTTCAAAAAACGAAGAAGAGGGATTTACATGCAGAGTAAATGGCAGTGCAGGCAGAAGTGTGCACCCATGTGAGAGAAAGAGGAGGAAAGAAATCTTGGTAGCTGGTGCCTGAGAAAGAAAGCTGATCCAAACCTGTTCCCTGCAAAAACACTTGCAGCTCTGAGCCAAGAAGCTGTCTTGGTGCTTCACTCCTACTGTGTTCAGAGAAATGGGACTTTCTGTGAGTGCTTTGCACATCAAAGGAATAACTCCTCAGTACCTCCATGTGATGCAAACACCCACCATGGGGTTTGGCCAACTGCTCGGTCAAGAAGGGGTAATGCTACTCAGGGTTTGTTTATACTAAATCCGTGACGATGTCCTGTGTAACTGTTTCATTCCACATACTTGCCAGTTTTATTGTCCAGAAGAAAAGGCGTACAGATTTCTTACTTCCAATGGAGTCAAAGAATTTTCTTTGACCAACAAACAAATTAAAAAGTTAACAGCTTTTTAAGTCTAGCAACCTTCAAACTCAATTCTCAAACACAGATCCAAACCATTAACCTTGGGAGAGTTCAGACCTATGAAAAGTTCACAGAAGTTCACGAACAGGGAATATTAAACACCTCCATTCAATTGTGATCTAACAGAGACTGGCACTTCAAGCTTTTTTAAATCACAGTTGCCTTCTTTTTCTCAGGATTCCCATGAGATGTTTCTTTCCTCCTACCCAAAGGATTTTGTAATCTGCGGGATACTGGAGAGCCCCAGGATGGGAATTAAAAGACCATTCTTGTTATTTCATCCTGTACTTTCTATCAGATTTTAAAATATAACTATCCCGAGCGAAGTCCATATGCTCCCTCATCTATAGGAATGCTCTTGTGGCAATGGGAGGGTAATGAGGAGAAACTCTGAGCAGCTCAGCACGATGGCAGGTTCATGCACGCCCCAGCTGAAATGAGTATTGCAGAATCAATGCAGAGACTCACCAGTAGTGGCTGTGTTAGGTTTTTCCCCTTATGAGTTGAGCTTTGCTGGCGTTAGCATCAAAGGCAGCATGAGCATAGGCTGACTGGGTGGCATCTCCTCCTCCTTGGGCTTAGGAGAACCAAAGACCTGAATCTTGCTCAATCAGTCCAAGGGCATTTGCACACAAAATCTAGGTTATTCATTCAGGTCAACAGATATTTTTTTAATCAAGAGATATGTAAGACAAGAAAAGCGCCTTGAAACGTTCTAAGTATGCACTAAACATCAGCACAAAGACCACACAAAAAAATCACCAACAAAAAACTAAACCCATGCATCTGCAGGCAAGATGTGTATCTAGAGGAGCATCTTGGACAGAAACCAACTGATGTATTAACATACCTGAGACAAACCCCATATTGAGGTATGCTGCATAAAAGAGAGATTAGCATAAACATGGGAATATTTAAATGGCAATATAATGCAACATTTTAACTTGGAAGAAAAAAAGCCTGTCTGGAAACAGAAAACCTTAGCAAAGACAGAAGGCTGACCACAGAACTTTCACCAGCACCAGTGCCAGAAGGAGTTGCTAATACCACAAAATACTTGAACATGTAGGGTCACAGTCTGTGAACCAATATTAATTCTTGGAGCTTTTTCTCCCTCTCCTAATTATAAGTTTCTGGATTTTTGGCTCTTGCCCATCTCCCACTGACTTACAAGTACTCAGAAATGCCAAGAAGCTCGGGGTGATTACGCTCCTGAGATGGAGACAGGGACTTGTGCCGTGTCTGCTTGTGGCCAGAATTTTCTCTCTTGCTAATGTGAAAGCCACATAAAAGGCGATGTCCAACAACGTTCAAACTGCCGGTTGGGGAGTTATTTATATGACAAAAAGTTACAACTGATCACTCAAAAATTAATTTACGGAAACCCAGATGAGATCCACTGGAGCCCATGCAACCCTCCACCCTTTGGATTCTACACAGTTCACATTTCTGATCATTTCTGTAAATGGAGTGTGGCTGTAATAACAGCCAGAAGACAAAACTTGGGTCCTGCCATCACAGCTGTGCACAAAGCTCATCCCTTCCCCATGGTGGTGCCCACTGAGAGGAATGTCACGCTGAGGCGTGTCAGTGTCCCAGAGTGGCGTCCGTGAGGGCTCACCTGCGCCTGGCAGTGCCTTGCCACCGAGACGAAGCTGGAAGGAAAGAACACCCTGAGCACACAGGGTGCCACAAATCCTCAGAGTATATTGAGTCACGCAGCAGACATGGACATGACTGTGCGTCAGGCTTCGGAGAGAGGGCATGTGCTAATTACTAACAGGGCTGTAAGTCACATTAACACTGGACACACATAATGGGTTTAGGTGACCACTCACACAGGAGCTGCTGTGATCCCAGATCAATGTGTATCTGCCTGTTTAGAGTTTCTAACATGGAAAATGTACATTTACAGCATGGGTTTGGCATTCTGTGCCCTCCGAGGGTCTGACATGGCATTGCTTCTCTGGTTCAAAGGGCACTGCCTGGCCAGGACATCCTGGATGTGTGGAGACAAACCCTCCATGACCAAACTTCAACCAGGTGCCTCAGGTGTGTTCAAACCCTTGTGAGGCCAGACCTCCCTTCCCGATTCGCAGGGCTCTGCTCCCTCCAGAGTGCCCGGGCAGCGCTCGGGGTGCCCCGCACCGACCGGAGCGACGGAGAGGGGTCTGGAGCATCGCTCTGAGGAGGGGAGACTGCGGGAGCCGGGCCTGGTTAGTGTGGAGAAGAGAAGGCTGAGAGGGGGACACCACCGGAAAGAGCCTGGCACCATCCTCTCGTTACCTGCCTTCTGCAGCCGGTGCCTCGCGGAGCCCCGCGGCGGGGCCGGGGCGGGGCGGCCGGGCAGGGCCGGGCAGGGCCGGGCGGCTCCCACCGCCCCCCGCATCACATGAGGGAACTTCGGGCCAATGGCGCCGCGGCGGGGCCGGGGCCCCGCTCGCTCCCGCGGACGCTCATTCAAAACGCGGCCGGGCTCGGGTGCCCGCAGCCCCGCACGGCGCCCGGGGCTCGGCGGGGCGGGCGCTGCCGGCCGCGATGCCCGGTGCGGCCGCGGGCTGAGGCGGCCGCCCGCCCGCCGCCATGCCGGTGAAGAACCGGTACAACCTGGTGGACGATGGCTGCGACTCCCGCGTCCCGCTGCACAACGAGGAGGCCTTCCAGCACGGCATCCACTTCCAGGCCAAGGTGAGCCCCGGGCGCGCTCCCCTCCCCAGCCCCCGGGGCGGGGGGCGCAGCGGGTCCCCCCCGCCTGTCGCAGCCCCGCGTCCCCCCGCGCTCGGGGGCTTTGAGGGCTCGGGGGCTTTGGCAGCGGCCCCCCGGGCTCTCCCTTCTTTGCCTCTGGTAGCCAGCCCCGGGCTGGGGGTCCCCGCGGGCTGGGGGTCCGGTGCTGTCCAGCACCCACCGGGGTGGCACCCACTGGCCACGGGCCCTTGGCCCCATGGCTCGAGGCCAGGCTCGCCGAGCCCCCCCCAGCCCTGCCACGGGCTGTCTCTTCAGCTCTGGAAGTGCCCCTGGGCCAGGCAACCGTGGGCCAGGTCTAAGGGAGTCTAAAGAAAACAGCCATCAGCTTTGAAAGCCTTACATTTAATTAGCACAATCAAACAGGTTCTTGTGCTTTTCCCAGTATTTTGTGGGCTGTGCAATCCTTAGGCACTGCCTCGTGCACCTCGTTTGGGAGCTGGTTTGGGATGACCCCTCCTGACAGCACCGTGGACACTGTGCCAGGTGCACGTCCCTGCCCGATCGGGTGCCTGTCCTGTCCCCCATCGGGCAAAACCCTCCTCCTGTCACAGTGGGGCAACAGCTCCCTATTCCCTTAGAAACCAGCAGACTGCTGTGTGCTGCTTAAATAATAGTGCCTTGCTCCATTTGACCCCTTCACTGCACAAAAAGCAGGGCGGGCAAGGTCTGCATCAGAAAGAAATACTGATATCGTCAGAAATTTCATATTGATTATGAGGAACAGCCTGGCAGCACAGCAGCACTCTCAGAGAGTGGCTCCATTGGAATTGGCATTCTGTAGACAGCACAGGGAACGGGTTTATAATTCAGCTGACAAGAAGAATTGCATTTTGCTGGAGCAACTCACAGGCTCCCTTCCCCTCTTTGCAGGTGGCCTAACACAGATTAGAAATGGAATTCACGCCTGCTGTCTCCTGAGCTGGAAAGAAGGGGCATATACATTCCAATAAAGCTTTGAAATACAGATTTTGTGCCCTTTGGTTTTCCTACTAAAAGAGCTGTAAGATTTAAGCAGGATATGGGATGAATCTGAATAGACAGCTAATCACGTATTTTAAAAAATTTCTCTTCCTCGGGGGGAGAAAAACAAATAATCTGTGATTTCTTGAGTTAAATTAACATTTGCTGGGCTGTACACTGTGCCAAGGAGAAAAAAAAAATCCTTATTTTGATTTTTAAAAGATGGGAAGCAACTGTATCTTTAACTGAGTGAAACTGGCTTCTTCAGATTGACAGCTGCAGGCATCCAGAGCTGGAGTGGATAACAGGCTGTTAGGATGTGTGGGTCTGGGATGGGGTTTGCATTGCCGTAGTAACTGAGCTTGCTTGGTTCTGCTCTATAGTCTGTCTCTTCCAATTAGGCTGCTCATTGTGGCCACATCAGTCAGCTGGGACGCTGACAATGACAAGGCTGCAGCTGGCTGCAGGTGTCCCTCACCAGGCAATCCTACTGACCACGCTCACTCTCTAATCTCCACATTCCAAACTGCCTTACTTCCCCTGTAATCTTCAGGAGGTCAGTACTGGGAGCTGCTTCTGGAAAGGCGGCTGTTTGGGCAGAGCTTCACGTGCTGTTTCATGAGCTTCGTGGCTCTGTGTGGGAGCACAGGTACCCAAACTCTGCAGCAAGGCCAGAGCAGGGAGTTTGGGACAATCTCCTCTGGCTCAGCAGTCACCAGCTCTCCTCTTGCCCCAATAAATTTAGCAATTTAGCCTGTTCCCCACTGCAGCTCTGTTGTGGCAGACAAAAGGCCAGCTGGCTGCATGGAATTCCTCTGGATTACCTGTGACTGTACTGACAGCCATGGCAGAGCGGGGAAGGAGATCTGCACACCAAAGAGGCCACAGATCTGGAGCAATACAGCCCTGCTCTCCCCACCAGCCCAGAAGGAAGCCCTGGCTCTGATGCTCCCCTCCCTGCTGCCCTCAAGCTCTTGTGATCTGAGTTTGGCTCTCCTGTGGTTTACCAAAGGCTATAGCTGAACTTAACTGCTCTTAAAAATGCCATTTTACAAAGGCATTTACAGAAGCAGCAGCAAAGCCAGATGACCTTTCAGATTGCTTGCAGTGTTTATTTCAAGGCAGGAGAAAGAGCAGTAAAGACTGAGCCAGGAGAGCTCATCTCTGAAAGCCCTTTTAAGTACACATTTTACAAGATAAAACCCATTGCAAGCTGCAAGTGTTACAGTGGAGAAATCAAACCAGAACTGTGTCAGTAACAGTGATAGCTATGGGGCTGCTTTTGGGGTATTATTTTGTCTCTGTTCATATGTATATTATCACCCTGAATGTTTGCAGGGGCCTCCTGATTAGCTGCTCCTCCTTCTCCTTTCCTCTCCGCAAGGAAACAACTTCCAAAAAAAACCTCCTCAACTAAACCACACACTAAAAACCAGATGCAGCTCATGAACCAAATGCTCCTGGGAGGCTCACTAAGCTTTGGGAGCTGCCCTCTGCCCCCCCACAAGAGCAGAGATGGGCCTCACTGGGATCCTGCCAGTGCCAAGTCTGGCACCTGCCCCTGACTGCCAGGGCCACACCTGGCACACACTGGCATTAGTCATCAGGCCCTCACCCTCTCACTCAGATGACATTCTTCCTGTCCTCACCAGCGTGCCCCTGACATGCAGTGAGCCACACCACCTTACAGCCTGAGTGGCCTTTGCCTTTGCTCCCCACACATTGTGACTGCCCAGGATGCCACATATTTTCCTCATTCTCCAGCCTGAGCTGGCAGCTTTCTGCCTCCTCCACTTGGCAGCACAGGCAGCACTCCTGCGCCTCCGTGCCACATGTGCTGTCACCAGTCCCCCTGCGCAGCAGCAGCTGCCTCCTGCCAACAGGTGCACAAGCAGGTTCTGCTCTGGCACACAAGCGTTACAACCCAGCACGAGGGCAGAGTACAGGCAGCACAGGAGCAGCGGGAAGCTGCCTGCAGGTCTTCCCTGACAACCCCTGGAGCATCTGCAACATAACTGCCATTCCACACAGGAGAACAGGCAACCAACTCACAGGAGGCTCTGAGTGTTCTGGTAGAGGTGGAGGTGCTGGGAACCCACCCACCATCTGCCACATCTCAGACCCCAGTAAGGGGCCGAGTTAGAACTGGAGCCTACACTGAGATGCTGACACTCAACGCCAAGGGCAGCCCAGCCTTACCCGTGGTTAGGACTGCAGCTCTTCTAAGTAGAGTTATAAACAGGGGTGTAGGACACAGATTTGGGCTTACCAGGATTCTGCAGACAGCTGAGCTGGTCCAACCAAGCAGTGACAGTGGTGTCCAGGGAGACACCTTCAGTCTGATGGTCCAGACTGAAAACTTAGGCCAGAATCACAAGCCTTTTCCAGGAAAGCTGTTTGCAGCCTTCCAACTCTTACATGCCTTTAGGTCTGAGCCTTTTGAAAGCAGATGTAGCAGGGAAGAACAAAGGATGGACAGTCCCATTTTCAGACCCACAGGATTGTAACTCAATTAGCAGCAGACATTGCCCTGCAAAGCACTGGTAAAGGCACATCCAGAATCCAAATGAGGTCAGAGCCTCACACCCGACCTTAGAAATCCATGAACTCGCTGACTTTGATAACATTATCCACAACACATACTCCTATAATCTCCTGAGTCAAGAGAGTCTAGCCAAGGAGGGACTAAATAAATGAGAGATGCTGTTTGTTTTGAAGAAACACCACTGACCTGTGCATTGCTGAACAGACATCTCACTGTTCTGTCTTTCAGTACATCGGCAGCTTGGACGTCCCCAGGCCCAACAGCCGCGTGGAGATTGTGGCAGCCATGAGGAGGATCCGGGTAAGTTCAAAAGAGCTGAGCCCACGTGGAACAAAGGGTTACATTCCATGGAGGAACTTGGTCACAGTGTGCTGTTCTGCATTCCCCCCAGCCCTTCCTATCTGCAGCTCAAATCTCAGCACAGTCGAGTTTGTAACAAGCTTCTCCTGAAATTCCCAAGGCATCTTAAGATAGATCCATCCTCTACTCTTTGCAAAGGGATCAGTTAGCAAAACTCAAACATAAACCCCTCTTCTGTGCTGAGGAGGTATGGGGCTTCTCCTTGACCCTAAGAGATTTATTTATCCTGTATGGAGCTTTGTGTGTGTGAAAAATAAGATGAACACAATCTGCTCCACAAAAGCACTTAAATTCATTGACAGTTCCAGATATACTGTGTTATTATATATTGACACATCAGTGGCCTGACAGATGTGATGGATGTAAATCCCATCTGACTAGACTTTGTGGATTCTGCTGCTCATGGAATAATTTGCTGCTCTTCCCATCCTCCAGTACAGTTTTACAGTTCTTGTTTCTCATCACCAAGCCTGTGCTCTTCCTCCTCTACCCCTTTGTTCTGCAGAGCAGGCTGTGAATGGTCACCAGATTTAGCTGTGATTAGCAGGGTGGGTAGCTCACATCTGCTTCGTGTATAACCAGTTCAAGTGCATCTCCCCCAAAAGGCAGTGCAGCTGCTGTGTCTGGCTGAAGTTTTGCAGGGGTCTTAATTCTGAGGCTGTTCATATGTCTCACATCAGCTGAAGCAGGTTTGAGACTCTTCCATTTAAAGCTTTGAAGGGATTATCCTATTTTCTCCCCTCCCCCCCAGTGTTTAACCATCTAATTTTCCTTCAGAATAGTGCTTTTTAAACTTAGCCTGTAACTGGCTGGGGAGCTGATGTATTCATCTCCAGCCAAGCTCAGAAATGACATTCCCCTCCCTTTCCCTGCTCAGACTATTAGCACAGCTCTTGCTCAGAACACAGTGCAGCAGCAGTCTAAATTGCCTGGTTATTTATGGAACAGGTGAACATCTATAGGAAGCAAAGGCAGTAGGTGAAGACCACCAGGGCATTTTAGGTGCTGGCATAGCTACTGACAGTTTTTCATCTGAATCAGTATTTATCATCAGATTTGACACTGCACTTCTGCTGATCTTTGACTGGATAACACCCTTGACAGAAAACCTTGAAAAAGCAAATCATATTTTAATATCACTTAAAAGAAAGTGTTGCATTCCATTTTCACACCTGCTGTTGCCACAATGGTACGTGGTTCAGAGCCCTGGGAGTGCAACAGCATGCTTGAGTGCTACGAGAGATATAAAAACCCACTCTGCATTCCTGGATGCCATCAATTAATCTTATCACACAATATTTTTAAAGTAGGCATCCTGTATTCTATCGTGGGTTTTTAATCTTGGAAACCTGTTCCAAAAAGGGAGGGCCTTCCCTTTTCATGTGCACATTGTACAGCAGGATCTTATTCAGACACTTCCTGGCTGCTGAGCGGAAGATGCTCCTCTATTGAAGATAGTTAATTGGCACTGATCCTTAATTAGAGCATAAAGAATGAACTGGGAGGTCTTTGAAGAGAATTCTAGTGCACAGAGTACCCAACCTAGGAACTGAGGGAAGATGGGGTTTATTTATGTAGCGTTCATTTGCATGCAGAGGCCTTGCCTGTACTGGAGTTTTTTCCCATGGACTCTCAGCAGCACCAGTTGCAACTGGGAGGAAACGGTGGAAGAAGCTGTTGAGGGAAGTGAGTATTCTGCTGCCACGTTATTGTGAGTGGTGGTGCCTGTTTGCACTGCAGGCGTGAGTAAGGTCCCACAGCCCTGCCAAGTGCTGGCAGGGGCACATCGTGCTGGAGCTTTCATCCTTTGTGCACTCCAGTGTTCCACTGGAATTCTCTACTGGAGCGGAAGGGGAAAGTCGCACGGTACAAGCCCCAGCACAACATTCCCTGTGCTGCTCCCTGTGCCCTGTGACATGGGAGAGGCGGGAGCCAGCCCACAGCACAGCCAGGCTGTTACTCACCGCTGCCACGCCGGGAGGGCCACAGGGAGGAGGATGAGGAGTCACAGCTCCCTTTTCCAGGCTGTGACAGAGCTGGTTACTCTAGTTACTCATCAGTAAATTGATACAAGCTCCAAAACTGCCTTCCCACTACAATGTCTCATTGCTGTGATGAAAAGCGCTTTTCCCAGGGAAAAGCCTCCAGCTACCGAGCACTCCAAGTGCCCTGAGAGAGCCATAAGGGAAGTAGCAACTCCAAATGCTAAGCCTTGTCCTGTGTTTTATACTGGGCTGTTCTACCAGTTGCACATGAATTATGCCAGGGAACTGGGGAGCAGTTCAGTGGGATTCTCCATGCATTAGAGAGCACTCTGCTTGCAGAGTTCAGGACATTGCTCTCAGGGAGCCTCAAACAACACGTTTTAGCATTAGCCTGCTGAAATCGTGACCTGCTCTTTGGCAGTAGGTATTTAAGATGCACTCTCCTAGTAAAGCTTAAATCCATCTTCCAGGCTGAATGGATGCTTGTAGAATTGCTAGCAATACTCCATTAGTCACACATTAGATTCCCATTTCATAACAGACTGGAAAACCTTGTCTCATCATGTTCTATGTTTCCACTGGAGGGAATGCAAATGCAATAGGTAGAACAGGGAAGCTGCTGTTCTTAGCTTCCCATTATGCAGAGCTAGACAACTTTAAGTTTGCTAATCCTCCCAATGGATTATTAGCTGCATACAGCTGCCATGTTGTTATTATACGATCAGAGTTCAAACTAATCCTTCTACCTCTTGCCCTGGCAGGGGAGGTGATGAAATGAGTTTGCTGCTTGGATAAGTACACTGTACTCTGACAGGCATGTCAAGTGTCTGTTTAGCAGAGTCCAATTCATCCTGCAGCTCCAAGCACCCAGGCAGGAATTCCTCCACCTCCCAGGGAGCAGCATCTGCTGCCTCCGGCTGCCCGAGGCCATCCAGGTCTGGGTGTCTGACAGCTGCTGCTCCTGTGCTCTGTCAGCGTCCTGGTGGAGCTGGCTTTCTGTTGGAGTGGATTCATCTGCAGGTATTTGAGCCTTCTCAGCACTCCAGGGAGCTTATGCACAAGGTTTTTCCTCCTGCACAAGTCAAGTGGTAGCTAATGCGAAGATGGGTTTCGTAAAACACAAAATGTTTCCTTGAAGCTCCTGAGGTTGCTCAAAAAAATCTTAGTCTGGAAGACCAGGCTTTAAGTGCAAGGTTAATATCACCACATTATCCTGCATCCATTCCCCAGAGCCAGCACTGACCAGAGCAGAAAGTCAGCTGTTCCCTTCCTAGGGCAACACTCCTCTCAGTCCAGCACTTCAGAGCCAGCCAAGCAGCCCCAGTGAAGTGCTGCTATTTTGAGTGGTGAGTTGTACAAGGACAGAGTGGGAGTAAGTGTCAAAGCCTGTCATCCCCACAGACAGCCTGCTGCAGCAATTCCCCAAGACACTCCATTTAAATACCTCTGAGGCACAGAATCAGTTTCCTTGGCATTTGCACTTACATATCTCTGAAGCCTAGAAATTTCAGTTCTATTTGGAAGGTCTAGCTTGGACCTAAGCAGGTATTGACACTGAGAAAGGAGCCAGATGTTGGATTATTTAATCATTCCATAAGGGAACAGCCAGCTGGTGCAGTGCCCATCCAAACACCAGGATGAACAAACAGGAGGCAGGCATCCAGACTACTGTTTCTTCTGTTACCTCCACATTTCTTGCACTTAATTTAATCAATAAGCCTTTTTCCCCAGAGGCAAGTGTGCCAGAGAAACAAACATTTATAATTCTTGACACAGGATATATCAGAAGTGCCTGAGTTCTCCTCGGTGTGAGAACTGGGTTCTCACTTCAGCCTCCCTCTTACCCTGATCACTCTTACTGCATCCATGCTTTAAGCAGAGCCTCAACACTCTGCAGTTTCTCCACATGGTATTTGAGTGAGGAAGTGCAATCTTGCCACACTGCAAGTCAGAGTGACTGCCAAATATCAACTGGTAGTGCTGAAGTGCGACATGACAGCAATTTAAATCAGGATGAGTAAGTTACAATCCTACAGTGCAAACTTGTGAAGCAGAGGCAGCAGAGACAGCCACACAGAACCTGCCTCTGCACTCCAGCAGCTCCCAGTCTGAGAGCTGGGCTGGCTCACACAGCAGCTCACACTCAGAGCTCTGCCAGGCTGTAAATTGCAATGGTTCAGGAGCAAATATGGATGTGATTTATCTGCTCTTGCTACAGAAGGAGAGGAACCAGGTGGACAGCTGGCAGAGGGCAGGGCGACCGCCTTCAGCCCTCTCAGCTTAATTTATCACCGTGATAGAGATGTTTCACAGACCCGTTAGTGAGATTGTTCTAGAACAGTTCCCTCAGCTTTCCCAGGCAGACAGCCTTCTCACTACACATCTATAACTTGGTCCAAGACATCCTTGCCATACAGCCCTTCTCTTCTCCAGGCACCTGGTGCCCTGAGCAGGGGTGTGTCCCATTATCCAGCCCACCCACAAGACTGCTCAGCTCCAGGCACTGTGGTCTCAAAAATACCAGTTACTCCCAGCTCCCATCCACAACAGGCATCTGAGCCAGTTTAAGGTTTCTACCACACAAGATTAAGTTAATTGGGTTTACCTTTCCAGGCCCTGGCAAAATACAGCAAGTGTTTTCAGGGTGGTAATTAAGTGTTAATTGCAGCTAAGTTTAGCCCTAATGCCTCATTAGTTTGTTTTCCTCTATTTGTTACAGCTATAGCAGAGTCTAGTGCTCAAGGATGGGGATCAGGATGGGCTTCCCAGGAGGCAGGATTCCCACCGTGTGCTCTGAAGGTCCTACCTGAGCCTTGCCAGGCAGCCTCTTACCTGCTCCCATCCAAGAGGAGGGGATTGGGTGTGGAGCCAGAGACCCCTAGACCTCTAATTAGGCTCTCATTAGAATCTAAGCAGCAGCCCTGCAGAATATCTAGTGTACCCACACACACATTA